TTAGGTTAGATCAGAAATCTTGTATCAGGAGAATATAATGTGCGAGGAGATTGAAGGTTAGGAAAAAATGTTAGTGAGGTTAGGTTAGTGTGGTAGTTAGGTTAGATCAGATATCTTGTATCAGGAGAATATAATGTGCGAGGAGATTGAAGGTTAGAATAAAATATTAGTGAGGTTAGGTTAGTGTGGTAGTTAGGTTAGATCAGATATCTTGTATCAGGAGAATATAATGTGCGAGGAGATTGAAGGTTAGGAAAAAATGTTAGTGAGGTTAGGTTAGTGTGGTAGTTAGGTTAGATCAGAAATCTTGTATCAGGAGAATATAATGTGCGAGGAGATTGAAGGTTAGGAAAAAATGTTAGTGAGGTTAGGTTAGCGTAGTAGTTAGGTTAGATCAGAAATCTTGTATCAGGAGAATATAATGTGCGAGGAGATTGAAGGTTAGGAAAAAAGTTTTTCATTTGAAGGCAGAATGTAGAAACTTTACTGCATCTGAGTAAGGCATTTTAGTGAATATTTGATGTTAGTGAGGTTAGGTTAGCGTGGTAGTTAGGTTAGATCAGAAATCTTGTATCAGGAGAATATAATGTGCGAGGAGATTTTAGGTTAGAATTAAATATTAGTGAGGTTAGGTTAGCGTGGTAGTTAGGTTAGATCAGAAATCTTGTATCAGGAGAATATAATGTGCGAGGAGATTGAAGGTTAGGAAAAAATGTTAGTGAGGTTAGGTTAGCGTGGTAGTTAGGTTAGATCAGAAATCTTGTATCAGGAGAATATAATGTGCGAGGAGATTGAAGGTTAGGAAAACTTGTTAGTGAGGTTAGGTTAGTGTGGTAGTTAGGTTAGATCAGAAATCTTGTATCAGGAGAATATAATGTGCGAGGAGATTGAAGGTTAGAATAAAATATTAGTGAGGTTAGGTTAGCGTGGTAGTTAGGTTAGATCAGAAATCTTGTATTAGGAGAATATAATGTGCGAGGAGATTGAAGGTTAAGAAAAAATGTTAGTGAGGTTAGGTTAGTGTGGTAGTTAGGTTAGATCAGAAATCTT